ACCCTATACCCTAAACCCTAAACATTTAGAAACCTGGAGCCTGGAGTTCTAAAGGCCAAGAAGCAGGGCCGGTGACTTTCATCTTCGGCGGGGGCGGCTGCACGAACTCCTCCGGCATCTCCTGAAGCTCACCACGTGTTGGGTTTAGGGTTTAGGGTTTAGGGTTTAGGGTTTAGGGTGTAGGGTTTAGGGTTTTTAGGGCTTTTAGGGTTTAGGACTTTAGGGGTTTAGGATCCAGGATTGAAGGTTTTTTGGCCTAGGGCATTGGGATCAGGGCTGCGCAAGGGTTCTCAGCGTGCACCACGGGAGGATCTTTAACGGTTGTACAGGTGTGTACTGGATCATTGGAACTAGTTTGCAATTTTACAGACACCATAATACTATCGCTACCGGCCTTTCTTAGCTATGTACTAGGTGGCAGCATCCTCTATGCAGGGGTCATGAGATCTGCAAGCGTTCAGGGTCTTTGGGGTACGGCTTCGTTTTGTTGTGATGCTAGAGTCCATGAACGTGCGCCTCAGTTCCTCATGCCAAGCTGGAGCTCTTGGATATAGCGTATGAAACTTAGGTTTTGGCTTTGGGGTTTGCAGGGCGTAGGCTGCCGGATTTTTATCAGCATTCCAGATGTTAACTACGGTTTTGCGAATTGTCACAGAGGTTCTGCACGGGTGTATGCTTTTCTCTCAAAGGCTTTATTAGGGACCAACAAAGTGAAACTTATATAATCAAGGTGGGGTCATAGAAAACCGCAAGGCTATTAAAGGTCACCTACTCAGCTGCGAGTGTTGAGATTAGGAATTACATTCAACTCTAAACCCTAAGCCCCTGAACCCTTAAACCCTAAAGCCCTAAACCCCTAAACCCTTAAACCCTAAACCCCTAAAACCCCTAAAAAACCCTAAAACCCTAAACCCTCAGTCCAGCAGTTAGGGCTTGAAGCCACTGCATCATTAATAGAGTACATCATATTATAGAGACAAGCTGAGCTCGGCACATCCTCATTGATTTCTTCTTGCCTTGGAGGAAGCCAAGACCCACACCAGTTGCTACAAACATGCTAGCCTAAGGGTCCAAGTAACGAATAATCAGAATAGTCTCCCACATAGTAGCCTACGTAACTACAGGTTTTGACAAAGCTTTGCTTGTCTCGCGATTCTGCGGGATCATGCAGGGGTCTGTGATACTAAACCCAACTAAACCAGTCTGTTGGTATAACTAGTTTGACAGAAACCCCCTCCCGCGCCCCCAAACAGCAACAGCATCACCCTGTTTCATGTATGTCAGCCAGACGCACTTCCTAGATTACATAACATCGGGGCCTTATATAATAGTTGGAGTATGTATCTTAGTAACCCTATACAGGGAATGTGAGGGATTTCCGACAGTTAATTATATTTCTTACACCTCAGCCCTAAACCCTAAACCCTAAACCCCCAACCTAATTAGACTAAACCCTAAACCGTAAACCCTGAACCCTAAGCCCTAAACCCTAAACCCCCAACATAATTAGACGCTCTAAAGCCAGCCCTCAAGCCAAACCACCCAGCAAAGTCACAGGACACACCCGGGACCCGCACGTGAGGTCCTCGGGATTTCCCTGGCAGCAATCTGGTAGTTTTCTAAATTAGGGTTTAGGGTTTAGGGTTTAGGGTTTTGGGTTTCGGGTTTAGGGTTTTTCTAAATTAGGGTCCCTTTTGGGGTCCTTTTTATAAGGGTGCCGTGCTATGTTTGGGGACCTAAAAAGGGACCCTAATTTAGAGACCTACCAATCTGCTGACAAGTTGGGGTTTAGGTTTAGGTGTAATTTGGGGTTTTGATGTCTTGGATGCATGGGGCTTAGAACTGCGGGTTTTGGGTTTCGGGTTTTGTGAACCCTAAGCCTGTAAAGCCCAGAACCCTGAATCCGTGAAGCCGAGACCCAAACACTAGATCCAAACCTTCACTCACATAAAGACGAACAAAGGAAGAACCCCAAGTTTTAAATCCTAAAGCCCGAAATCTCTGAACGCTCATGAAACCAACAAGCTATGCTTCGGTTAACTCTGCAGGTGCCTGCTGGCCCACCGGCGCTGCTGGCGACCTCATGCAAGCTGTCGGGTTGCTTTTTGGGTTTGGGTTTGGGGGGTTGCGGATTGCGTTGAGGTTTGGGTTGCTCTTGCGTCTGGTGTTTAGGGTGCTAGACAGGTGGCGCCAAAGCCACAACATGGTTCTTCCAGGGGTATAAGCATGTTCATGGATTCTTCAATGATTCTTGCTGTAGTGATGGTTTAATTATGAGCTTTTGCAGCACTGTTCGGGCCGTATGGGGCTCTGACCTCTGGCATGTCATAAATCCCACCAAGACATTCCTGCCTTTCTGGAGCCTTCACACAACCCCAACCCTGAACCATAAGGGATTACTATAAACCCTAAACCCTGAACCGTAAAACCTAAAGCAGAAAAAAAACAAACACGTCGGGTCATTAGCACGGTCCCCCGCGCAAGGCGTGAGACTGACTGACTGACTGACTCGGTCGAATACGGGCTCAAAAATCTGGTGGGAAACACTTGGAAGCGCTCGGAGAGGGACGTGAGGGATACGACGCGAAATAACGAGGACTACCTTCTTTTTGATTTTGCTAATCATTCAAGTTCGCAGTCTCAGATTCCGACCCTGGTGCACCCGGAGCTCCGGGTGGCCCCGGAGGGGGGCCTTGGTAACCAGGTCCTGGGGGAGGCCCCTGGTACCCAGGGCCAGGAGGAGGCCCCTGGTACCCAGGTGGTGGAGGTCCTGCGGATGTCACTCTTTAGGAGTTTTGGTTGTTGAGGATTTTCTGGATTTGTTAGGAGCGCAGAAAGCCACGGCTTGATGCTCCTAAACCCGAAACTCTACACCTACAGAGCCCGGGATCTCAAGCGTCACACCACCTCGACCCGAAAACCTAGTCGCCGAGGCAGGGTCTCGAGACCCTAAACCCTAAACCCTAAACCCTAAACCCTAAACCTATCTTCAGGTTTGGTTTTGGGGTTTAGAAGTTCAGGGCCCGGAGTTCCAGAATGGATGCCCCAAGTCCTATAGGTTTAGGGTTTAGGGTTTAGGGTTTAGGGTTTAGGGTTTAGGACATCGCCTGCAACTTGACGAACTAAGTCTTCAACGCCTCGGCCCTTGCTCCCTGAAGCCCCAAATCACCCCTAAACCCTAAATCCTTAAATATGAACACGAAACCCTAAACCCATCTAAACCCTAATCCCAGATATTCAAACTTGCGAATCCCACGCCCTCAATTCCGAGTTCTTGCGCTTTAGGTCTAAAGCCTGGTGAGATGCCTATAAACCTAATATAGGGACCCGCAGAATCCGAGATTTTGGGGTAGAATACAGATCGCAAGACTACACACGAACTATCCGGGAATAACCTAATTTAGAACTCTTCAGACCTGCATGCTAACAAGGGCCCTAAACCCTAAAGCCTAACATCCCTATCACTCCACCGTTGCCTTGATATGCAAAGCTTTCCGAGCCTCCCTGCCACAGTGTGGGCAAAGCTTTGGCTCAGCAGCTTTCTTCACTGCCTTGGAGCGAAATCCCTTTGTCACCAACTTGATATTGTCTTTGACCTCCATCAGGTCATTGCACCATGCCGTTGGCTAGAGGTCAGTGAGGACATGGCCAGGCAAAGTGTCGCCCTTTAGCTTGGCATCCTTGGCAAGGACGAGATGAGGGCCGGATGTTGCGTCGGGAAGGTCACTGGGTACCGTGTGTCCAAGGCAGCGACCTGCCGAGTCAACTTGCAGTGTCAACTGCTGATAATCCGCGGGGCTCGAATGCTCGGATTCACAAAATTAGTTCCCAATGTGCGTTATGGCTGCCATCGCCCTGTCATGGGTACCTTAACTGATTCTCGGCCGATGCTGAAGCCGGAACCCTACAACCTGAGGCTGCAGGCCCAACCCCCGGTCCCACGGCAACCCCCGCCCCCATCCACCCGTCTACCCACAACCAAGAACCTTGCCGGCCCTATAAACCCCTAAAAACCCCAAGCTGTATTCGTACCACGCCTGGTCCTGGGCCGCCCTGGGGTGGACCCTGGGGCGGTGGCCCTGCGAGCTACCACACATCTTTTTGATGCACAGCAAAGGGCTGTTTATCATTTGCCGGGTTTCACGGTGGTTTTCGGGGCTTACAGAGCTTTGGAGGACAGCGTCATATGGTTTGTTTTAACGGCGTTCTGTACAGCTGCGAGTTCAAGGCTTGAGGCTTCGGATAATGGGCCTTGGGGCTCAAGTGTTCAGCTGTCGGGGTCGTGGGATCCAATGTAATGTTGGTTGTAATAACAAACCCTTTAGGGGGTTGTTTTGTTGAGGGTCTCTTGGGGTGGTAGTTTTTCTTGGGGGGGGGGGGGCATTAATAAACGTCTGGCCGGGTCCGGGAATGTAGCAATGGTAATAATAAGTAATAGTAGTAATACTAGAAAAGGTAGTAATAATTGCAGTAACAGTAGTAATAAGAGTAATAATCGCAATAGTAGCTATAGTAGTAGTAGTAGTAGTAGTAGTAGTAGTAGTATAAATACCAAGTAGTCGAACTTCCTGGGATTCGAATCAGGCAGAGGCCTCAAGAATGGCTGCTGCACTTCCTGGAATCCAGAGTGCCTGGCTTCATGCCAAGGCCAGCAGCTCTCGAACCCTAAACCCTAAACCCTAAACCCTAAACCCCAAAGCCTCTGGCTCGGAGCTTCTGCGACGTCGGATCTGCTCTGCTCGCCGAAGAGTGGAGTGAAAAGTCTCTGGAATCACACTCTGCAAGCTGGTAGTTCAGTGAGATGTCTGAGGAACTGCACTCTGCCAGCTAGTTTAGGGTCTAGGCTCGCTTTCCTCTTCTCTAAAATTATATAAGCTTTTGCTCAAAGCAGGCCCTATTTTTTGGGGGATTTGGGGCCCGGAATATGTTACTTGTCACTCCTTTGTAGATATCACCGGAATCCCTACATCAGTTGTTTGGCCGGATCTGGGCTGATCTGGGTGCGCAATCTACAGTAGTTTTCCGTCGGAAAAGTCTGGGCCAGGGAATGCTTTAATTGCCACCCTGTTTACTCGTGTCACCCCTGCATTACCTTAAGGACCCAATGACCCTTAAAAGTAGGGGCCCTATACCCGTATACTATAATCCCTAGACGGTATATGAACCTTAAACCCTTTTAGGGTTCGGGCTCATGTCGTCCTTAAGGTAGGGGACAAATAACTGGACCAGAGCTCTGGGATAGTGTCGCCGTACGACGGAACCCTGAGGAAGAGATTGCAACTTAGCCAGGCCCTAAGCCCGAAATCCTGTAACCTAAACCCTAAACCCTTAACCCTCAGCCCTAAACCCCAAACCCCATACCCTGAACCCTACACCCGCAAACTCTAAACCCTAAACCCTCAGCTTTAAACCCAAAACCCTATTCGGCTCTTGCAACTCCTCTGGAAGGCCTAGGGTTTGGGGTTCAGGCGCCCTTAAACCCCGAACCCCCTGGCCTAGTGTAGGGGTTTAGGGTTTAAGGTTTAAGGGTTTTGGGGTCATTTGGGGGAAAGAAATCCTTCACAGAATCCGCCACGAAAACCTAAAAGGAACCCTGATCTAAAAAAGCACCGCTACAATGGCCCTTGAGCCGCCCGGCCTTGCTGGAAGGGCGGCTGTCCCGGAGGGGGTCGGTAGACCTGGGCCCCTTCAACCCTAAACCCTGAACCCTGAAGCCTAAACCCTGAATCCGAAACCCTGAACCCGAAACCCTAAACCCCAAACCCTAAACCCTGAACCCTAAACCCTAAACCCTAAACCCTAAACCCTAAACCCTAAACCCTAAACCCTAAACCCTAAACTGAACTCATCCATGGCTCAAGGCA